CAGGGTTGCGTCGGTGGCGTCGGTGGCGGTGACAACGGCGGGTGTGCAGTGGCGGCGGGTGTGGCTGCGGTGGCGGATGCGTCGGTGGCGGCGACGGCGGCGGGTGTGGCGTTTGCGGCGGGTGTGGCGGCTGCGGCTGGTGCGGCTGCGGTGTCGGCAGGTCTTGCGGCGGTGGCGTCGGTGGCGGTGACAGCGGCGGGTGTGCGGTGGCGGCGGGTATGGCGGTTACGGCGGGTGTGGCTGCGGTGGCGGACGCGTCGGTGGCGGCGACGGCGGCGGGTGTGGCGTTTGCCGCGGGTGGGGTGGCTGCGGCGAGTGCGGCTGCGGTATCGCCAAGTGTTGCGGCGGTGGCGTCGGTGGCGGTGACAATGGCGGGTATGCGGTGGCGGCGGGTGTGCGGTGGCGGACGCGTCGGTGGCGGCGACGGCGGCGGGTGTGGGGTTTGCGGCGGGTGTGGTGGCTGCGGCATGTGCGGCTGCGGTGTCGGCAGGTGTGGCCTCCGTGGCGTCGGTGGCGGCGACGTCGGCGGGTTTGGCGTTGGCGGCGGTATCGGCGGCAGGTGCGACTGTTGTTGCGGCGGTTGCGACGGTGAAGGTGGCGGAAGTGGCGGTGGCGGCGGGTTGGCTGGCGTTGCAGGCATTGGCGGCGGTTGTGGCGGTTGCGGCGGTTGCAGCGTTTGTTTTAAGTAATATATTCCTTAAAAGGCATTTTGCCCTTTGGAAAAAAGGAATGAATTGAGGCCGACCCGTACATTTTCTTTCCTCCAGCCAAAAACGTCCATTGCTGCCAGATTGCTCCGTAGTGTGCAGAACTTAGGGTTTTCAATCATAGAATAGATACGAGGGGCCGTAAGAAGGTCAACCCCGTGAGTCAACGCGGCATAGCAGAATGTATGACCGGTCCTCACATAGCCAAACACGCAAAAGGCAACGACTCGAACGTCGAACAGACACCAAAACAGCAAGATAAGCCTGAAATTTTTCCTGATAAAGGCGTTTGGGATGGCGGTGCTGTTGTCGGTAATGCATCGGCAATCGTGTTGCTGCCAGCGGCGAAGAGTGCGCACATGAACGAAAACGCGCCAACTCAGTGCGTGACGCTTGGTCTATGAGGAGAGTTGTAACTTATCGGGGGGGGTCTGGGGGGGGTCTGGGGGTCTGGGGGGGGGGGCGGAGCCCCCCCAGCGCCTCACACTACAGGAATAAATTACGACGACTCTAGCAACTTTGTTACTTAGGTTGGAATAAATTGAGACCCGCCCTAAATGAAAAAAAAATCACTGGTGTGGCTGCGGTGGCGGACGCGTCGGTTGCGACGAAGGCGGCGGGTGTGCGATCTCCCTGCATCTCCCTGCGCACCGACAATGGCGGGTGTGCGGTGTTGCGGCTCTGCCTCTGCCTCTTAGCATCGTTTTCTTTGCTTTCTAAGCTCTCGGTGATGCTCACATTTTCAGGTTATTGCAAACAATCAGGGAAATAGGCGCCTGCTCACGTCAATCACGCCAATTATTCCCACCACCGACGACCACATCAACCTTTCCCACCAGGGCCCACTGCAGTGACTGCGTGTGCGTGCGTGCGTGCGTGTGTTTGTGTGTGTGTGTGTGTGTGTATGTGTGTGTGTGTGTGTGTGTGTAACGTTACGAGTATCTGTCCGGGCCTGACACTGGCCAGGGACTGCTGCCCAGCCCCAACGGAAAGACCGCCTAAGCTCTCTCCCGCGGACGGGAGTAGGGCGCGAGGGGGGGCCTCTGCCCCCTCCTAAACAGCCGAGAGCCGCAGTGTGTGTGTATGTGTGTGTGTGCGGGGCCTTATCCGCCGACCGAACCGCTACTCCACCCTGTACTCATATACAGCATATAGCCAGGTCGCCCTCTTTACGTTTTTAAAGTATGATGTATGGGACAGGGGGTTCATATCTTCACCCTGTGGCCGCTACCCTGCGAAACCCTGCCTTCCCCGGTATTTCGGGGCACCCTCATCCAGTCACCCTAGTCAACTTCTCAGTGGATCGCTCAGGTTCCGCACCCACCACCAGCATCCAACGGAATCTGTCACCACCATCGGATACCATCGGAAGAATTTCCGACCCTGACAGGTCTCGATCCCGGAACTGATATATGAAAAGTATGCAGTATGCAAAAGATGTGTGACCACGATCACTTCAACAAGTATATGTACACGATGCAACCCAAGTGAATATCTCCTCTTCCTCTTCCTCTTCCTCCTCGCATTCATTTCACCCCACCACAGTACTCTTCCAAGTGATACCCTCCAGCCTCCACTCCACTCCTCGGGCTTCAGCAACGTACACCTGGGGGGGGGTAGCTTGAGTTGGTAGTGAGTTGAAACACACGACGACTACCACTACCAAGACGACACACCTTCAGCCACACCAGCTCGGCCTTCCTGGAGTCCGCTTTGTTGAACAGCGATCGGCCTCCGTCCGGTAGGCGACTGTAGTAGGGGCCTGGAGGTGCAGTGGGGTTAGGGGGTAGGGGTAGGGGTGGGATGGGAGTACGGGTGGGGTGGGGTGGGGACGAACGCCGCGATGATCGCACCAGGTCCCACCAAAACTTCATTTTGAAATTGGACACACACACAAAAAAAAAATACATAAACACAATCAACTTGCGAGCTGACCAGGAACTAAGTTGAGGCGCCGTTGATCCGCTAGATTTGGTTGGATGCTGGTGGTGAGTTGCCGAACCCAAAGAGTACACTCTGAAGTCGGATGGGGTGACTGGATTAGGGTGCCCCTCTAGCAGGGGAGAGCAGGGAATTGCCTCTGGAAGGAGGCCACTGGTGAACCTGTACCAACCTGTAACAACAACATACACAGCTCTTCTCTCCCCAACAACCCAACAGTCCCTCACCAAGTTTGCTCTTGACCACCCTCTCCTGTCCCCGAGGTCTTAAGGGAATGCTGAGTCCGTCAGCTCCGAACTGAGGGCCGCTATTGGGGTTGTCTATAACGGCCAGATTAGGACCCCCAACCTGTGTGCGTGCGTGTGTGAGGGGAGGGGAGGTAGCAACACCCACACCCGCCAACCTTTAGCGATAACACTTTCGGGATGATAATGCCCAAAGGGGAAGAACGTACGGCACACGCACGGCAACTGACATCGTTAATGTAGTCAACATGTATGCTAAATGTCCTCAACATTCTTCAACAGCCAACTTTAGCTGTGTAGAAAAGAAGACTCCCACCGGCAACCGCCGCCTAACCACCGACTGTTTCACCCACCACCCACAAACACTGCCAAACGGCCACGCAACCCGTTCGAATCCGTTCGCTCGCAATTTGCGCGCACCTTTGCCAGTTTGAATGCGGTTGTGTTCTTGATGTCCCCCTCCGGCCAGGTGAATAGAAACGCGCCGTTCGAGGACCGGTCCTCTCCCAGTCCAATCCAGCCCTCGGGGTTGTAGCCACCCAGTACGGCACCCGAAGATGTAGCCGCTACAACCACTGCTGCACCCAGGCCGTCAACCTGAGAGGGGAGGGGAGGGAGGGGGGGGGTTAAGCTTCCGTTGGACCGTTGTCACACACTGCTTCACTTGCACACTTTGCACATTGCAAACCCCTTTCCTGTTTTCCGAAGCAGACGATGCGGCATCTTGCAACTGTTTGCAACTGTCTGCAACTGACTATAACTGACTGCAACTGACTGCAACTGATTGCGTTCACTGATGGGAAGTAGGTGGTGAGGGGCACACCTACCTGGGCATGGAAGGCGGTGGGGCTCCAACCGTGCACGTCAGCATCGTAAGCACACTTGAGCGGCCTCTCCTGGAGCTGTGTACGAGCCAGCAGTGGCCGTACTGCCATGATCAGTGGATCACGCTCGTCGCCAGGTACGGGTGACGCACGCTCGTTCATTTCGCAGAACTACGTGACGTACACACACACACACACACACACACGTCAGGCTGGGATGGCCAGGCGACTAAGAGTGTTCAGCCCTTCAAGCCCTTAAGAGCCCGAAGGTTTCAAGAGCCCGAGCGCACTGTAACTCCCCCCTCCGTCCCGCTCCCTTTAGCTCCCTTGTCTCAGCTTACAACCATTTCCCACTTCTCCTTCACCTGGTCAGGCAGCTCCTCAAAGTTGATACGCTTTAATCCCATGGGGGCCCTAAGCCATAATAAGATAGCACAGTGGAACGGCATTATTTAGCTATGGACGGTTCTTCCAGCCAAACGTGTACACGGCGTTTTACTTACGGGTCGGATAAGGCCTTGGGGAAGAAGAACGACACCATGCGCTCTACTATGTCCATATCGCCCCCCGCCTGACCCTGACCTAGCTGTTGTTGCTTTTTGGCACGGGTGGGGAGGGGACCACGGCGCCAGGACGGCTGAGCCACACATGACGTTCCTAGTCCCTGGCCCGAGAGGCGGGTACACGGAGCCATCCGGGGCCATCCGTAGTCTGGAGCGCGTGGGGGAAGGCCATTTGCGCGCAGCATGAAGTCGCGCGACACGAGATGACAGGTCGGGGCTTCGGTTCGTGCAGCGATAACTTTGTGAATAATTTGGATGCTCAAGACTGTTTTGTTTTTACGTATCAATGGCTACCGAGGATTGTGACCCAAATGGCCCTGGGACTGAAATGCTTGGGATGGAAACAATGGCACACCTAGCATAAGGGGAGACCTCTGGAGGAAGCGCGTCCGCGGTGTGCCCAGCAAATGCATATGCATATCTTATTGATTGTTCACAAAACAAGACCTGGTACGACGTACGAATATGCTCTCTCTTGCAGGTGTTGCATTATTGTGCCTGACGCATATGTTGTGGTGTAAGACATAGGAACAATAATCAACATGGCTAAGAACGCTAACATTACATCTCAAGATGGTATGCTTCTGGCTGTGCTTGCAGATGAGGTGTGTAACTATGCCCCCTTGTGTTATTTTTATAGGCTCAGATCATGTTATTGATGTGTTTTTTGAGCTCCTTTTAACCAGGACACAATTACCGGATTTTTGCTAGCGGGCGTCGGGAATGTGGACTTGCGGAAGAAGAAGAATTACTTAGTGGTAGACGCAAGTAAGACTCTGTGATTCAGCGTTGCACCCGATTCAAACTTCTGACAGTGGCTGTCGACTGCACTGCAGAGACCTCAGTGCGAGCAATCGAGCAGGCTTTCAAGGAGTTCTCGGCCCGGGAAGATATCGCCGTAATCTTAATTTCACAGCAGGTTGCCAGCCAAATCCGGCACATCATCGCGGCTCACAACAAGGTGCGCACTGATTGTGACAATCACAACTGGCGGGCACTAAATCTAACAGTTGGTTTACCGCACCATCTGCAGCCTATTCCGGCCGTGCTCGAGATTCCTAGCAAGGATTGCCCCTACGACCCGTCTCAAGACTCGCTCCTCAGACGAGTGAAGCACATTGCGGGCTTCAACTAATTTGATGACTCTGAGGATGACTAGCTGTGCTCACCAGGGCTGGGGGATTACTTTTAGGGTATGGGGAAGGCAGCGAAGGAATTTTTGACTTGTTGTGCCGTACGGTTCTGGCCAGTTGCACGTGGCAAGTGCATCCGTAGAGGGTGTGGGAGGGGTGGCGCTTACGGGAACAGCGTGACAGCACTTTGACCGACCCAGAAATTCTACAGCTTAGAGATCTCCTGGGCAGAGGACAGGCGCTCACACTGGTTGGCTTGTGTGGGAAGGTTTCAACCCATTCCCTATCTTTTACTTGCGTGACAGCCCCGCGAGAAGAAGAGTACTTTGTGTATGTGTGTTGTGGTATGGAGTGCACTGTTTTTTGGTGGGGATTACCTCGCTCCCCGAGCGTCATACTGGGAGCGTATGTATTTTGCCAGGGCCTCTTTTTCCTTCTGCTGTGAGTCCAGTACTGTAGGCTCGTTAGCAGGGAATCAGGGTGACCTGTGTGCTGGGATGAGGAGGGCCATCAACCAGCTGCTATAAATCACAAGCGGAAGCAACCACCGGACCTGCCCACGCCAGGACTCTTTTGCCTTCGAACTGTCACCATCGCCAGCACTTCCCATTTGGCTGCCGCAGTTGACACCAGAGAGTGCAGTTTTGGATACTGGAACTGACATTGGGATGTCCCGCAAACACTCTAATGGCGGCAATGGGGTTGTAACGTGCCTAAGAGCCGATGCACGACAACTGCAGCAAATGCAAATGCATCCTGTGACATGCAGATCCACTGTAGAAAATGGGATGGTGCTAATGAAGGAAACAGGCCGTACCCGATAAGGATGATGGCAGGAGGGCTTTTCATCTCGTTCTACAGTGACAGAGATGCGAGATAGGTGGTGTGTGGTGTGCTCATATAGCGCAGGCTGGCAGTAAAAGGAAATACAAAACTGCGAGCCGTCCACAGGATAATTCGGAAACCGGGAGACACGAGCCGTGATGGATAGACACAGACTGGACAAGTACAGAAATCCGAATGTTACTGATGCTAGCAAGTTAAGCACTGGAAGCCAACTGGAACAGACGGGTGTTTTGGTTACAGCAGAGGCAAACGTGGCACAATTATACACAGGCATACCATCGGCGCCCGGGCCTCAACACGAAATTACATACCCCTTATGCCCTCTTCCCAGCCTTGCCGTCGCTGTCCACCCGGCCCACCCTCCAGACGGTTTGGGGTGGACACATGGGAACAACAGCTTCGGTATCCACTGCACTGTACCTCCAAGCCAGCAATCGTTTTCCGGCCTTCAAGGAGTTCTCGGCCCTGGAAGATATCATCATCATCGCTCATCTACCATTCCACAGTAGGTTGCCAAAGAATTCTGGCACATCATCGCGGCTCACAAATGTGCGGCGCAATTATTGTGGTGTAGGTGTGCGGGCGCTGAAGGAGTGAGGTGATGCACGCACATGTAGCGGACCAGGCCAAGTGACAGAAGCTTCTCTCTGCGCAACCCTTTTTTTTACAGAGTGGGAGTGGGCTTCTGGGCCAATTCGACACATTTGGATTGTCACAACTATTGGATTGAACACCATACAGCGCCATCCACCATTACCACACTGTACTACGCTCACTGTACCTCTACCGTCATCCCTATTTCCTAATCTTTAACCGCGCCTGTCGTCCCCGTCCCCGGCACCCCAGGGGCAGCAGCAACATTAGGAAGGTAGTACTTCAGCCGTTCCATCAGCTGTGCCTCCGTCAGCACCCCCTCGAATCGGAACACCGCCTTGCCGCCCACAAACAGGGTGATAGTGGGTAGCGCCTGCGGGGCGGGGGTCGGAGAGAAGTAAGAGCGTAACAGCCATGTGAAATGTTAGCTCCTGTTTAATATTGATGTCGTGTGCATCAATACAAGAAATAACTAAATGAAAAATCCAAAATATGCCATTGTTCCCCAGTGCTCAACCCCACGGCCAACCGAGAATACGGGTCCCAACCACCATTCGGACCTTGACTCAGGTGTAGCTAAAAGCCTGAAGGGTGTCCAACAAGAAGAGCCCGCGCACCGGCACACAGCTTCTGAGATACACCAAACTGCTTCGCGGCCTAAGTCGATAGAGTTGAAAGCCTTACTAAAGTACACGCACCAGCTACATGCTCCAACAAACTGTTGGAGATGATGCCACAAACACGTCAATGGACACATTCCCCGACATCAATGGACACATTCCTCGGATAGCCTTAATGCCGCCGGTCTGATGGTAATGTCCCCTCCCATGCGCCCAGTAATGACAGCTAGCCATGTTGCGCAAGACCCAAGACGGCGGAAGGGAATGGGGCAAACTGGGCGACTGAGGGATCAACCCCACTATTGGGTGCGCACTCATTCCCAATCCCTCATTTGGCATCCCCACAGCATCTTACATAATACATAGCACATAGCAGCAGACAGGACAGGACAGGACACAGAGCAAAAGGCCGTATGCGTGGTTGCGCAATACGGCGGCCGAGGAGACCGCCGCGGCGGAGAGAGGGCGACTGTGGCGACTTCATGGCGCCCCTCCCTTCAGCCCCCCCCCTCCCCCCCCCTCGGAGCGCTGCCCCACCTGGACCTTCTGCTGACTGGCAATGACCGGGTGTCGGTCCGTATCAATCTTGACCACCTGCAGCCTCCCCTTGAGCTTCGATGCCACAGAGGAAAGCACCGGGGACATCATCTGGCAGGGGCCGCACCTGCGTGCGTGCGTGCGTATGTGAATGGTTGTGTGTATGTTGGATGGCGTTGGATGGGGGACGAGAATATGGGCGGGCATCTCTGAGCCACGTAATGCAAGTAATGCAGCTAACTCGACTACGACTTCTCATTTAGGTAGGACGGAAAAAACATCCGAAAGGAATGCAAGAGGAAGGAGAAAGGGATAAGGATCTGGAAGGAGCGCCCAATTTTCGTACTAATTCACTGGCGTTCATTATTATGTGGGAAGAGGAGACGAAGAAAGGAAAGGAATGAAGAATGGGGAAAGGTGTCGCCCTCACGAGGATGGAAGTCCTCACGAAGAATACCTATAGAAGGGAAAGATGAAACTGTATTTGTGGCGAACAAGGCCTCTCTTCCCGCCTACCTCGGTAGGTACGTAGGTGCATAATCGATATGGGCCGTGCAGCAGTGTTCGACCACCCCCGCCGCCCATAACCACAACAAAGCCCTTACATTTGCAAACACCCAAGACAATCAAGACACATTCGCGGATCCGCCCTCACTCACTCACTCACTCATTCGCTTGCTCGCTTGCTCGATCACTCACTCATTCGCTTGCTCGCTTGCTCGCTCGATCACTCACTCACTCATTCGCTCACTTACCCACCCATCCACTCGCTCGCTCACCATGTGGCATAAAAGTCCACAAGCACCGGCACCTCGGATCGACTAAGCATGTCATCGAACGAGGAAAACTGCTGCTTCTGAGCAGCCGCCACAACAAGCCGCCGCAACCGCAACCGCTGGGATCCCCGCGGCATTGGCGACGGCTGCGCGGACGGCGACAACGAAGAGGAGGAGGAGGACGCGCTTCCGCCTCCGGGGAAAGTGTGGTCCCGAGCTGCCGCGTACGGTGCTGCTACTGAAGCCGACACACGAGGCCGTAGCCGACCTCGCCGCGACCAGCCCGAAGGTACAAATCGCGGGGCGGCCGTGTGTGCATTTGTATTTGTATTTGCCATCGCTGCCGCAGCCTTCGGAGGGTTACGCCGAGGTACCGCTGCCAACGCAGCGCAGGTCCCAGCGGAGGTTCGCGGGATAGTCGCCATCATATCTGCCGGTGCATTTCGATGTAAGGGGGATAGGAGGGCGGGAACGAGTGAAGGATGAGGGGCAGGAGGGAGCTTGATTAGCCCACCGGTTCTTGAATCTCGCAGATACTCAATCTCTCCTCTCAGACAAGAGGAAGGCTTCCGCTCGACAAGAGGCCTTCCATCTTCTATATCTCTAATGTTGAGGCGGCCAGCCAGTGGGGAAAACGGTTCTTAGGTGCATTAGCACTAGCAGCGGGTGCCTTCATGTCTTCTGCCCGCGTATGCGGTGAGATGCAAGCCAGGAACTAGAAGCCAGTACTGCACCGCAACCCGGGCTTGTGTTCGCCCGTCGATCCTTTTACGCAGCCCTGCTAGATGTCTTCCTGCAAGATTATTATGCATAGATAGCACGTGTTCCGTGCAATCCTTCGCAACTGCAGCTGCGGAAAAGTACTCAGCTTTCGGAGAAAGTACCGATACTTCTAGCTGACAGCACGGCACCCAAAACTCACCCTTGCGCACCTTACGGAGAGGTTTATATTTGTTACCCTTTATCTGTTGTACACTTGATCGCCAAGTAGGTTGTTCGCCAAGGCTCGCATGAGGATTCCAGAAACCGTAGATTGCTCAACAATTAGCTTGCTCCGTTCCCTACATTGTGTGTAAAATTTCGTTAACATGGAATCGGCAATCCAGCGCTAATCGTGAGTGAAAAGCGGTATCTGGCGTACCAGTACGGATAGTTAATCGAACCTCCTGCTTATTCCTAATCAAAGTTGTGCGGTGCGCTGTGACACGGAGAGCAGTCTCGCGGTGGCGACAGGGGTTGTGATGGCTGCAATCGAGGCCGTAGCTATGGACTTGGTGTCCCCAGGGACGTTTTTTGCTGTATGGGGTTGAGAGGTTTCATAGGAATTCATCGCCTGATAGTAAGACGCGCAGGATCAGCTGTCCTTAGCGCGAAAGCTGGTGCAGGTGCGCCCTTTGGCCTCGTGCGGAATTGTCGACGCATACAGTGTTTTCGGTCATCATGTCTTAACCAAAGCTGCTCATGGCCTCGACTAAGCTTTTCCTGATGGACCCATGCGTATTCGTGGCACAGCCTTTCTCTGCCGGTCGCCTTGCACTTCATGGGATATTTATCCGGGCCAATCCCGAATTCCGCATTTGCACGTATGAATGAACACATGGAGTCATATTTACCATTTGCAGTCAGTTATATGCATGCCGACAGGTATCTGTAAAGTTCCTGAGTGCCATCATCGCGTCTGCTGGCAGCGTGCCTTTGTTTGTCAAACATTGAATACTTCATATTGGCGAAATCGGTCATTCAGATAACACTGCCTAACTACCCCAACGTGCCCGGCCAGCAGCGCGCACCTCTCCAGACCTCAAGCGTCACAGCATCGGCGCCCGTCTCAGCGGTGCTGCGACTACTGCTGCCACCCTCAACAAGCGCAGGACCCCTGTCTCCCATTAGCCGCGTTCTTGAGTGCCTGCCACGATTGACTTCCCCCACGGGCTTAGCCCCCGGAACGCGGGGACGCAGTACCCGGAGTCAAGTACCCAGCATACACGTGTGATCAGCCATTTGCTTTTACCACCCGCACCAGCGGCAGCACCACCGTCACCATGCGTCGTTGTCTTGGCGCAACACAGCTAAGGCTAACAGTGGCGGTGAGGTCAGCAGTCCTCTTGCTGCCCCCGCTGCTGGGGCTTTTCTTCCTGCCACTGCTGCTGCCCCTCGGGTGCTCCGACATGGCGGTCGCCGAGGCGCAGTCCCAGCTTTGGCAGCCAGCTGAAGGCAGTACACGCTTGTTACAGGCCAGTGAAACAGCTGTCGCGCACTCCATTGCCCCCGGCGCAACGGCTAAATCTGTCGCCACCGCTACTGCCGCCACCGCTGCTGCTACCGCTAGTGGTGGCTACAGCGCCTTGTGTGTGGTGGGACGCAACGAGAATCGCTACATTCGGGAGTGGGTGGACTACCACAAGTGCCTCGGTAAGCTGAGGGCAGAATGGAGGGGAGGGGGCCCGGGGCTTGAGGTTGGGGTGAGGTGATGCTGGCTCGCAGGCCGCACACATCAGCTGCCTGATACGACAGCCATGGATGAGGGTGGTGCTGAAAAGGAGTGCCACTACAGTTGGCTGGGTGGGGGATCAGAGCCATCAGCCGGTCCTGGCGCTTCACGGAGGAGCAGCAGAAGCCTTAGCAGCAGCAGACGCAGCAGCAGAAGCAGCAGCAGACGCAGCAGCAGAAGCAGCAGCAGAAGCAGCAGCAGCAGTAGCGGTCCGGACATTGCGGTTCACCCCATGGGGAGGTCATGTGGCTCCGGGGGACACGGCGCTCCCCTCACCTGGAGGGGAGGTGCACCGCCAGCCCAGGAAGCAAGGGAAGCTAGGACGTATCCTGTCACGGATAGGAACGGGTTGGAAGGACGTTGCAGCGCGCTCATGAGCCTCTTCCTCTACCCGCCTCCCTCGTCATCGAATGTGTGTCCCCGACTGGCGACTGTCTTTTATGGGAGGGAAGTATTGTGCGTATGTGTGTGTGTGTGTCTGTGTCTGTGTCTGTGTCTGTGTCTGTGTCTGTGTCTGTGTGTGTGTCTGTGTGTCTGTGTGTCTGTGTGTCTGTGTGTCTGTGTGTCTGTGTGTCTGTGTCTGTGTCTGTGTGTCTGTGTCTGTGTCTGTGTCTGTGTCTGTGTGTCTGTGTGTGTGTGTGTGTGTCTGTGTGTGTGTGTGTCTGTCTGTGTGTGTGTGTGTCTGTCTGTGTGTCTGTGTGTGTGTGTGTGTGTGTGTGTGTGCAGTAACCGACATAGCGTATACCGTCACAGAGCAGATTAAATAAGACTGGCGGTGGTGGTGATAGGGCTGACTGGTAGGGCTTTCAATTGGTTCCGTCAATCCATGTCCCGCCACACGTCCACCCGCCACCGCCACCACCACCACCACTGCTGGTAAGTTTTCTCTTACGGGTCCTCGCAGGCTTTTCACACATCTACTTGTACGACCACAACAGTACGGAACCGCTGTTGGGGGAGCTCAAGGAGCACGTGGCCTCAGGCTTTGTGGAGTATACCAATTACAGCGCCGCGCACACCAAGTTTAAGGAGGGATACACGTCAGATTTGGATCGTTTCATGTCTACCGTACAGGTAACCTGATCCCCGTATAATGCGTGCCGTACACTGAGTACCTTCCCTTGCTTCTCCAGCAGAGAAGGAACCATTTGGTGGTTATCCAGTCGCACCTGCGTGCGCAGGTGGTTGCAACTGGTGTTGTGTTTTTGCGTTCCAGTTCCCGTGTGCTCATTCAGTTGTACCTTGTACGGCCATTTTCAACCCTCCCTGGTTTCCGTGCATGTGCAGGGCCAGGCTTACAAGGACTGCGTGGACCGTTTCGGAGGTCGTCATACCTTTTTGGGGTTCATCGACATTGACGAGTTCCTGGTCATCTACGATGAGAAGGTGAGGCACGTGGACGAGCTGCTTCGGGACTACGAGCGGCACCCCGGCTTGTCCATCTACTGGGTACTGCTGGGCAGTAGCGGCCACAAGACCCAGCCCGAGGGGCCGGTGGTGGACCGGTACAAGGCGTGTACCCCCCACGACCACAAGTTCAACACGCAGGTGGGTGGGTGCTGGTGGGTGCCGTTCGTGGCGGCCGTTACGTGACCGTTACATTACTTCCGCTTTTCGGCGGGAGGGGGTGCGGCTCGTGTGCAATGCAGCTCGGCATGCGATTGCTGTGAACACAGTTCACAGATCACAGATACCAGGGGGCACCAGGCACCGGGATACGGATACGGAGTAATATAACATGGGAGTTCAGTGGGGACATGCCGGCGCCACATCCTGGTGTGGGGCAGTGTGAGAGCTATTCGTGCAAACCCTATGATGGCAGTGCTGCTGGTGACATGTGGCGTATATATATGTGTACGGCTGGGGCTCCAAAACTAGGTGTACGTGTACCTGGAAATGATGCAGTTGCAAATTATGCAACTCATGACATTTTCGTCCAAGGTAACAAACAGCTTTATACTGCCGTCCTGTCGCATAATGTCGCCAAACAATAACAAAGCTGCCTTCCAAGCCAAGCGCCCAATGCGATTCTGTCCATCATCTGCTCGCGTGCGGACAACACGCACATACACGCAAAGAACAACAGCATATACCCGGGGGGTATGATGCCCAAACCAAACAAAGAACTCAATCAGCAGTTCCACTCATCAATGTGCACATCTTAGGCCACGCACCAAAATGAAACCGTAGTATAGCTATGTATGCCAGTGTGTAGTATAGATATGTATACCAGTATCGTATCGTCTAGTTTACCGGTCTGTGCCCCCAAACAAACCCAGACAAACTCGCGCCCTCGTCTCTTCGTCTCAACGCACCACCGCTACCACTCGCACCGCAGTTCAAGACCTTTGCCAACACGCGCTTCCGACCCGTCATGTACTCGCCTCACCGCGCTGTCTTCGCCGCCCCACCTGACCCGGAGACCGGTCTGGAGCCGTACATGGTGGACGAGAACCACAACCGAGTGCCCCGCGGCCGCAACAAGAACTCCACACACACGCGTGCCGCCATCTACCACTACGTGACCAAGTCAAAAAAGGACTTTGACGACAAGATGGAGCGGGGCGGCGGGGCGGGAGTAACCCGGCCCAGCTACTACTACGACCTTATGAACAAGTAAGGAGGGGTTGATGCTAGGAAGGGGGGAGGGGGAGGGGCGGGCATGTCTCTTATCGCGAACGTCTTAGCCCTTTGGATAAGACTTGTTCGATCAGTCTTGCTCTCCTCCGCCCCGCCGCTGTGCTCCCCCCTCTGTTCGCATTGCATCGCATTGCACGGACCTGAGCTTTCCTCTGCAACCCCTCACAGCGGAATACCCTCTCTAATCATCTTTCCCCTCGCGCTCGCATCAACAGGTACAGCACCGAGACGTGCGAGGGTGCCGTACGCACTCGGCAACGCTTCTGCGGCGGCAAGCTGCCCCAGGTTCTGTCGGACGTCATCACAGGCGGCGGTTCAACGGCCGAGAGGGTGACGGCAACAGGCGGGGAAGCACGCAGCAGCAATCGCAGTCGCAGCGGCAGCGGTGCCAAACCGAAGTCGACAGCCGCGAAAAATGTTGACCCGGCGTAATCGTCGTCGTTATGCTCGTTGTCCACCTTGGCCACGGTTGCTAAAATACAAAAGCTTGTTATGCGTTGTGGGTTTTTTGCTGAGGTGCGGTGCAGTGAGCTCTCTGGCCTGGGCCCCAAAACTCTAGGGCGAACGAACCCGAAGTGTCCTCCCGGGGGGAGGTTTCACCGTGTGTGAGAAACCTGGAGGGCAAATGCTATTATGTACTATTTTTCGGCCACTGCAAGTAAAGTGGCCTGCTGCTGCCGGCGCCCTGCCGCTGTCAGGAGAGCATGAAGAGCGGATTGTCCCTCCGTGTCCACATCGTCGAAACGGGGCGAGGTGACCGGCGAGGGGATGTGTACCGATGTTGCTATAGGGGTCGTGTGCCGAAGGGCTGCCATTAGCAGCAGCAGCAGCAGCAGCAGCAGCAGCAGCAAAATTAGTCGCGCGCCCCCGACCGACTGCCCTTCTTTCCAGCAGCATTTTCCGTCTTCTTTTCATATCCGGAGATGCTGCGGCTGCGGCTGCTGCTACTGCAATAGCCGCTGGGGCCCCCTGGAGCGCGACACTACCAGTCCCACCACCCCCAGCACCAGACCACCAACCGCCGCCAGGGCCAGGTAGTCTACGGATCGCCACCGGCTCCCGGTCCCCAACACCTCCCCCTCCCCCTCAGACTGCTGCCAGCTGCTGCTGCCGAAGCCACGTAGAATCCCGCCCCGAAGCCAGCCGCCATTGCCGTTCTGGTGATGATGGGGTTCGCCTGGGACAGGGGCGGCGGCGGAGACAACTGACGGCGGTGGGCCTTGCTCGTCCTCTGCGGCCTGCAGCAGCGGCGCTATGATATGCTGGTGCAAGAGCTCGGCCATCTTGGCGGCATTGCGAACGACACCGGATGTGGGTGCCTGCTCCTGCCCGGGGTTAAGTGGTATCGGAGCCCAGCTGTTGGATTTGAGGGCCTCCGGGTTGGGCACGTAGTTTTCTAGCTGGAGACCTAGCACACAAATGCTTTAGGCGGTTGGAAGGGAGGGAAATGTCCGGGGCAAGTACGTGAGGTGGGAAGGGAGAGGTAAGCGGATGGTATGGAGGAAGCAGGGTACAGCTGAGGATGCGGAAGGGGTGGATGAGGATGCAATGCGGGGGACAGAAGGATGAATGGAAGGATGGGTGTTGTTTGCTTGGACTGATAGCTACTGACTCCTACTAATTCGATTTATGACCAGGCGCGCGTTTGCTATTGCGTTGATAGTGTTTAACCCTCGTGTTTTAATGGGCTCTTAAATTACTCGTGCTCGATTTGCGAAGTGATTGATTATTGAAATTTCTCGAATACTTGCGAGGACTGCTCCAAACGCGTTGGCGGTTCTGTGGAGGATAACGTATGATACGCGCTTAGCGTTTTGGGGATGATGTGAGGAACAACACGACAGGCAACAGAGGTGACGGGTGGGTCTGCAATAATGCGGCTACAGCTGCTTTCGGCAAGCAAACGGTAATATACCCAGTTTATGTTTTGGACATGTGACGTGACGTAACGTGACATGACGAAAAACTGTGCTGCTCAGATTAGCCTGACGGCGGGTTGATTGCAAGAGTAATGTTTTGTGGCCGTTACTTGATGTGTCACAGCACTCAGTCTGTCTAAGCTAGCGCATCTACGTCATAGACAGCATTTAACCACGCACTTGTTGACATAATTCTCCTCGGAGCAGTGGATAAGCATGCGCTTGGTGCGCGCCTGAAGGGAGCAATGGAATATGAACTTGCGCGCCTTGCCAGGCTTCGTATAAGTGAAAATCCACTGGTCCAGAAGCGTCCCGTTCCAGTCCTTCTGTGGTAGAAATTGCGCCTCTGGCTTGGTAGTCCCTTGGCCTCCTTCACGTGCCAGCACAAATCCACTGTTAACCATCAGGCAATGAAGCGCTAAGGCCAGAACGGGACCGCCATCTGTAGATGCTAAGTAAGCTGGTCGAGGACAGGCCTTTTCCAACAGTTGGGCTAGCTTTTCATCGTCCATTGGCAAAGTCTGCTAGGCTTGGTTTCTCCTGTTGTCCCCTGGAGCCACGTTAGACGGTCTGAACTGGAATAAGAATTCCATCTATTTACAAAAAAATCAACTTTGGTTTGTACAAATCAGTATCGTAGACAGTTGCGGTTGCACGACACTGTTGAGCTGGCGGAAAACATTCAGAGACCTGTGTGTCGAAAGGAAATAATTTTGAATGGACGTACTTTTATTTTTACATTACATGTTACGTCCTTGCATGCATGCCACATGACTACACAAGCTCCCGCGCTCCTTTTCACGGCAGCAAGACGGCTGAATGCGCTTTACGGAACCCCTCACGGTCCTAGTTCTTCAACACTTTATTGCGACGCTGTTTCAGTCGCCAGCAGCGTCCCGGTGCAATCGGTGCCGGGCAGCTCAGACCCATGCCATTACCCTCCGGGCCATGAAGCTTGGGTGTCAGTAAGCTTGGGCGCCGCGCGGCAACTCCAATGCAGTCACGGTGGCTGGGTCCTAACCCGGTGGTCCGAAGCCAGCGAGCGTGCCGTAGTGGCACAGCTACTCATCGCCATCGGCGAGGGCCTTGCCGCGCCATCGCCAACCGTTCAGCAGCGCATAACTTTGGGAGTAGGTCCGCCGCCTTTGCCAGTCGTCTCGGCCATTTTGGCATTCAATCTGGGACTTCCGTACACCGTCCAACCATTCCTAGAGACGGCGTCTGCAGCAGCAGCGACGTCAGCGCCTGGCGCCTCCACCGCCAACGACGCCGGCTCGGCGGCCATGGCAGCGGCGGCGCCACTGCTGACGCTGCCGTTGACAACCCCCCTTCAAGTGCTGGGCTTGGCAGCGGCCCTGGCGGACGCGGCACTACACAGCCCGGGCCCCCTCGCCGCCGACGCCGTTTCACGACATGGGACGAGCAGCAGTGCCGGCATCGCTGCCGTACCCGGAGCGTTGTCGCCCGCGAATTACCCCTTGGCGGAATCCGTACAGCTTTGCAAGGTGGGTGTGCCGCGTACGACACCCCTTGCACGTGTGGCCGGTGGTGGTGCTTCGACGGCGGCGGCGGCATCTGGCGGAAGCAAAGGGCCGCTGCAGGGTGGCCCCGACGCCGCCATCGCGGCGGCGGATGGTGGCAGTACTGGCGGCGACGCCGTCGCAGCGGCTGCGGGGCCGGCAGCACCGCTAGCATTTGCTTCTGACGAGCTGAGTGCTGGCGATTCGGTCCGGAACGGCGGCGGCGGCGGCGGCGGTGGTGGTAGTACGGCCGTCGTTCGAGATGCTGTGGCACGTGCACTGCAGCGCTACTTCCGAGAACGTGGCAGGCACGTCATGTTTTGATGTATATGTGTATGTATGTCACTCTGTGTGTGCTTTCTTACATGCTTATATGCGGGAAAGGGGGAAGGGTCAAGGAAAAAGCCCAGACAGGGCATACAGAGCATACACACACACACACTCCTAAGCCCCATCACATCGGCAGCCGGGATGAGTCATTGGCAATAATAATATTCATATTGATATTAGTAATGATATTAGTCCCACCAGGGGACTAGGGAAAAGGTGTCCTATCTGGTAAAATGCTTCATGACTTCAGGTGTGTCAGTACGGGAGACATGCTTGTCGTACATGTGCCCAATGTACGGCCATTTGGAGGAGCAGATGGAGGAGGTGAAGGAGCGGAGGAACCTAATCAATACAACCACCAAAATGGGGCCCCCGAAACCCATGGGGCATTCCCGGGTGGTGCCGTACGGCTGCTGTACTTCAAGGTCACGGATGTACGGCCGTACGGCTCAAGGCTACCATTGCTAATCAGTCCGGAGCGGACTATGCTGACTTTGCAAGTGAGAGGGGAATGTGGGTCGGGAGGCGGAGGATGGAGATGATGTTGGGCAATGGGCAACACATGTGTACGGAACATGTACGGAATGTGTGCGTGCTTCGTGTTTGTGTGTTCTCTCTTGAAACCCTAAAACCCCTTTTCCCCCCTCTCCCCCAGGGCGGGCTGTGTCGGGCTCCATTACCTTTGGGCTGCGAACCCCCTTCCCTCCGGAACAACCACAATTACCATAACTGCCACAACTACCACCACACAGTGAATGTGCCGCCATCATCACCGCCGCCTCTGATGCTGCTGGGGTATGACCCGGCGGCGGCGGCGGCGGTGACGAGCTGTGGTGTTGGGCTTGTGGGTACTCCGGGGCCGTTGCTGTCATCGTGGCGGACAGTGGCGCGGGTGAGGGGGCTGCGGGGGAACGGATTTCTGTAGGGAAGAGGAGTTTCGGTTGTTAGTTACGTCGTACACCTGGGGCTACATCTTTCTGTTGTTTCTGTTATCCCGACAATGGGGAGTGGAGGCAGTGGGAGGAAGTGCTTTGGTCGCGTGCTGGAGCAGCACACGCACACATAGATAGATAGATAGACAGGCAGACAGACAGACGGACAGACAGACAGGCGAGGGGTCTATTCTCTCTCTCTCTTACCCCTCCCCTCCTCTTGCTGCTCACCCTCTTACCCCTCTCCGCCCCCCCCTCCCCCCCCAA